TTTTTTTTTTTTGATTTTAAATTTGTGCTTACCATTGAAAAATATTTTCAATTATTATTTAGTCACCCGACAATGAATTCAAAAGTTGATCAATGAATTCAAAAGTTAATCAATGAAATCTATTTTGAAATGGTTGAGGTTGAGCATTTAAAGTCAAATTTCATATTTTCTTGAATTCTATCTGTTGAGAAAAAGCAAGTTCCTCAATAAAAAAAAAAAAAGATATGAAGGAGGCAATCTCCTTATTATTTTTCTTTTACTTTAAAAAAAAAATTCTAAAAGATCATGAAGGAGACAATCTCCTCATGTTTTTGGCTACCGTGACAATTGATTGGCTTTAATTTCTTATTTCCTTTACATACAAACGGCTGAAGTTGTTCTTGACAATGAAGAATTCATGTGTAAAAATAAATAATTAGAAGTTAGGTTTACTCATTGGGAACTTATATTTCAAAATGCCAATTAGATAAATTCATGATTTGTTAATAATGCTCATATTTTATTTAGGTGTTGAAAGATTGGTCCTAAAAAGAATTATCTCCTAAAAAGAATTATCCAAGAGTTCTTTCACCGATTCTCACTAGAACTCTTGCAAGAAATATGGCTGACGACGCTAATTTAGGGAGAGGAGCTCTGGAAAATCATGTTGAAAATATGGAAAGTACTTTGAAGGAATTGATGGCTTCCTTCCAATCTCTTCAAGCAACCTTAGTCACAAGGGCACCTTTGACAACAAATTCCTTGTTTGAAGGAAATGTTTCTATGGCAAATCTTCCTATCGCCACTTCTACTCTTGGAAAAGAGCCAATGTCATCTTGCCCACCAAATCCAACTATTGGTGGAACTTCTGGGATAAAGCCATTTGATCTAAATGCTGGTGTTGCTACAGCCCAGTCTAATGATCAAGAAAAGACTCAAGTTGACAAGTCAATCACAGAGGATGAAGACAAGGCAATTAAAGCGAAGGTGTAGTTGATGGAGGAAACACTAAAATCGATGCAAGGTGTCCAAACCAATAAACCGGTTAACATATCATCTTTGTGCTTTTTCCCAAACATTCAATTGCCCCATAGGTTTAAATTGCCTGAGTTTGAAAAATACAATGGCACTGGTTGTCCTTATGCCCACTTGATGATGTATTGTAGGAAGATGGCTCCTTATGCTAATGATACATTACTTTCAGGATAGTCTGACAAGTTTTGCAGATGCTTGGTTCTCTACTTTAGACAAAAGTAAAGTTAAAAGTTGGCATGATTTGACTTACAATTTATGAAGCAGTATGAATACAATACATCACTAGCTCCTAATAGAGAAGATCTTCAAAGAACAGAGAAGAAATCGAGTGAAAGCTTTAAGGAATTTGCTCAAAGATGACATGGATTGGCTGCTCGGGTTCGACCTCCACTGACTGATCATGAATTAAGCAATTTATTCATCAAGTCAACCAAAGGGCCTTATCGTGAGAAGTTAATAACTTGTGTGAATTACACTTTCGCTCAATTGGTTATCGTGGGAGAGGAAGTGGAAGATGGAATCAAGTCAGGGATTATTATTGATTATCAAGCAATGAAGAGTATCCTTGAACAATACCAAAATGGTAGTTTAGGGGCTTCTAGTTCAAGGAAAGTTGGTCAAAATCGAAAGGAGGAGAATGGGAATGGCACTATAAGCTCAGTTTATAAGGCATATAATCAGTCACGGGGAGCAAGCTCCAGCTTATCAATCAACGGCTTTCACAATTCAATCAAGGCCTGTTTATGCCTCTGGGACAAGTCGTCAACAACAAGAGAAAAAGAGACGCTATTTTGATAAACTTCCAATGTCATATATTGAAGTGTTTCGACAGTTGATAGCAACTAGGCTTGTTACCCCTGTACCTATGGTGCCATTAAATCCACCATTCCCAATATGGTATAACCCACAAGCAAGATGTGAATACCATAGTGGAGGTGTTGGGCATGACCTTGAAAATTGTCTTGTTTTAAAGCATCGTGTCCAAGATATGATAGATGCAAAGGAGTTACAAATTACATCAGAACCTGAGGTTGTTGTTTCAAATATCACTAAAAACCCTTTGCCCACACATGATGGTCCAATAGTTAATATGATCAAGAAAGACTCCGATAAAGGTCATGAGGTGACTACATCAACAAATAATGATGGTTTGAGCACTTCTTTTGAAAAGTTGAGCATATGTGTCATTGATGAAGGAAAGGGTGATGACAAGCTTATTCTACCTACTCATGGTGAAGCTTTAGACAACAAGCTGGTAGAGATTCTTCCTGTTCTTATCATTAAATCGTAAGATGTGTCAATCTTCTTGTGGTTGAGCTTGTGACCATGAGAAGAGATGGTTAAAACAAGCCTTTTATATTTTATAAAGCATTGTAGGCATGACAAATAATGTTCCGTTCAGTCCATTTCAATCAATGATGTTACTTTCATTTTCATTCCCTCTCTTCATATGCAAGATTGTCCATTTTCTTTTATTCAAATTTCTCATGCTAGCCAAAATTTCCATCTCCAGGTTTGCTGATAATAAATCCACAAATAGTGATATCATTCTTGAACTTACACATAGTTTTGATGAACTGATTTATTCTATGGAAGATGATGAAGAATTAGAACCTTTTCCTGAATTGACTAACATGTTGAGAGAAGAAGAACCTACATGGCAGCCTTATTAGAATGGCTACAACATAAAATAGGGAGGTCAAGCCTCGAAGGTTTCAAGAAAGAGATGTTGTTTTGAAGAAAAAGATGAAGGTTTAAAGAAAAAGATGTTTTGAAGAAAATTCTACCCAATGAGAGGGATCCAAGGGGAAATTTTGCTCCAAACTACAACACTCTTTACATCATGAAGGCAGCTTTTTCAGGAGCAGCTTTATTATTAGTTTATCTTGATGGAGATGATCTTCCACATCCAGTAAATGCAGATGTGGTCAAAAAAATACTGTGTTAAAAAAAAAAAAAGAGAGAGAAAAAAAGGTTAGGCTAAAAACCTTATGGGGTAGTCTAGGCAAAATAAAGAAAAAGTGTTCATGATGAGGAAGTAAAGAATCCAATGACGAAAGGCTATTCTTCTTTATCCTTTAATCATGGAAATTATCCTTAAAACCCCTTTTTGAGCCAAAAGAAAAGGTAATCGTCTAACTTATAAAAGCCTAACGATTTTCTTTCTAAATTGTCCTATATCAAAAGCCTGGGGTGAGAAGAGTGGTAGTGAGGGGATTCAATGGTAAAAGGGAATTTTGAGCCATTTTATCCTTTCTTTATAATTAGCCGAGCCCTAAACCACGATACAAGCCAATGTAAAGTCCTTATCAGAGGATTTGTAGCTTGCTCATCTATGAACACAC